GAGAGAGAGAGAGAGAGAGAGAGAGAGAAGCAAAGATAGGAATAAGAATAGTAAAGAATATGAGAGTATATAAGACAGTACTGAATAATATTGATAATTGGATTGTATTGACAGATGATGTGTACCCGTCGTCACTGCAAAGTGACTTTCATTGGGTGCTTAAGATTTCGAGCACATGGGAGGACGTGAAGACACTGCGCCGAGAACTAGACAAAAGCCAGAGTTCATCGGTGGCTCACTTCCGAAGCAAAATGCTATCATCGGTGGAACAAATGCAGACATTCCTCGGAATGCAAGACTTGGGCCGACTATTCTATAAGCCGATGAAAGATAGCGACGGCACGACTGTCTTGTGTACAATCAAACGCATGGTTGACGTGAAGAGTATGAATTGGCTATCATTGCGATGGATGCCAATCGCCAAACTCCAGAAGAAACTTCAACTCAATCTAAACGCCAACAACACGTCGATAGCGGAGACAAGCGATGCGTCGCCTAATTGTGCTCTTATCGGAGATTTACTGCTTTCCTCTTTACAGGTGAGTTCACCAGAAGTCTATATACAGTATAATTTATATATAGACACTAACGGACTCTTCGTCTGCAAAGCTCTCCAAAAACAGTTTGCAGTGAAAGAGTAGACAATATAAAGTGTATATATATTTATCTGTCTATATATTGAGTGTATTATTGGCAATAATTTATTGCATCTGAAATATATGAGTGAAAATATAAAATCGATCCTTGATTTTGAACGCAGGAAATGACATGTTATCACAAGGCATGCAATAACCCACTGCCCCGCGGCCTATATCTAGCGTTTGTCAAACTGAAGACATCGGTGGAGTTGATGAGCATTTTGGTGCCACAACACAGCCCTTATGTCATGCCTCACATCAAAATCCGCGAGAATCCGCACGTTTCCAGAGAGGAGTGGAATTGCCTTAAAGACTGCGTTAATCCCAATGAATTAAAAGTGATCATCAGTTCAGACTCATCGCAGTTAAAGTTTCTCCAATTAATCACTAAATCGGCGAATATATTGCTAAACACTATGAAAATACCGGAGAACGAGATCTCCGGGCATCGGATCTACGACATAGAGATCATTGAATTGAGTCCAGACGTGTCTTTCATACTATTGTTACCACCGGTAGAGAATGTTTGCTCCATATTCAGCCAAATCGATGATCAATTGCCCCTCAATTTCAATCTTATTTACCTTCCGTTGAGAACGTTTGAAATGAGTGAGTCTTTTATCGGCAAATATTTACAAAAAAGTTATTTTTATATTTATCTAATTTTATATCTTTTCTCACATTTAAAGTCAATTTAAACACATATCAGCAAACATTTATAGCCCGTTATTCAAGAATTTCTGCGATTCTTGAAATGGATATTCTGGTGGCACAGCAGCAGCACAGAGAGGTCAGTCAATCAGCCAATCAATATTTACCTACCATTCAAAGCACACAATTATTTCATTTAATGTTTGCATTTAACTCGATGTAAAGGCGTTTTCATCGACCGAAGTGTCGGCCGCCAAAACACGTCTGAATCAACTCCAAGAGTTTCAGTTGGTTTTGGACGAGTTGTGGCGATCGAAGCGATGGATTATGGATGTGGTCACCTTTGCCAGAGACAGGCAAAGCATTTATGGCATCTCTTTGGATAATATCACACATTCGCTGACGAATAGCAATGTCTTATTAGAAGAGGAGTCGGCGTTTCAGATACCGATCATTAATCTCAGTTCTTCGGCGCTTAGTTCTCCGGTCTCGAGTCCACCGCCGCATCCGACCAGTCGTCGGCCCAGTCGTGACGACTCGGCCATCGATACAAACTTTTTCTCCGATCAGTTGCGGATCAATACATCGACGTCTTCTTATTCACTCATCGATTCCTTATATTTCATGAATTCTGACTATAAATCGGAAACATTTACCGCCAAAAGTTGTGATGATATGCGTCGATGTGTCTCAGCCTCGAAACTAATGAACGGTTCCGTACATAGAAGTAATAGCGATGTGACACACAATCAATGGGCTATGAATCCCATTAATCCCATTGTCTTATCCGAAGAAAATGTGAGAAGTTTAAAGTCGAGAGCGAACGCTGAGCTAAACGCCAAATGTTTTGAATCCGATATGGATTTAAGCAATGATTTCAAGCAATCAAAGGATTCAATGTCCGAACACAACAGCTTTCGTCCATCAGTTTTGTCGAGCATTTCGAGCGCCGACTCTTCCGATTCGTGTCAATGGCCGACAAAGAAAGACAACGAATCACACGTTTGCCAACAAACAGATGACAACATAAGCCATGCGTTTCCCCTCAAAATCAATCATCAATTTTGTGATAATTTTTTAGATAAGAGTTTTGTAATACGAGTTTACGCCGCCTATGACTGCGGCCTACCCTATGGCACGAGCGTTAAACTACAGGTCACTATCGAGACCACAGTCAAAGAGATCATTGAATTAGTGGTCAGGCATTTGAATTCAACCGTTCAGATGAAGGGCGAGAGCTCTCCCATCTATGACTTGAGTCAATTGAACCGATTCTGCATAATAGCCGTCTATTCCTCCGAAGTGAAGCATCTGAACGACGACTTCAAAGTGCTTAACCTTCAGAGACCGTGGAATCGGGCGATGCTTTGTATTAAGATTAAGGAATAATAGCAGCGATCAATGCTTTCAATCGATTCTTACCATATATTTCATACCATGTATTTATTTCATTATAACTTATATAAAACCAAAAACTCTTTTTTATTTAAATGTAATTTTTTAGATACCAAATGAATTCGTTATTTATTTATAATAAAAATATATTAAATTTTATAATAAATATTAAATTTATTTAAAACTATTAGACATTATTTACCACTTAATTATATAGACATTTGTATATCATTTACAATAAATGTGATCAATTTATAGTTATAAATTGCTGGGAACGAAATGACCTGGGTATAAATATAGGAATAAGTTTAGCCAGGTGGAAAATTCTAAATTAAAGAACCCACCCTGGTGCAATGTGGCAAATTGACTGCACATTGATCTGTGACATGCATCACCTGGTGATGGACAGGTAGTGTAGATGTAGTGTAGAGGTAGTGGTCAGTGAATGGGTGTATTGGTGGTGATAGCGATCTCTGGCGTGTATTTGCATGGATTGTATGGTTTGAATGGAGAGCCCGTGTATTGAGGGCTGAGTCGACGCAATGAGCGCTGCATTCATACAACACATCAAAGTTGACGTCATTTGACGATTGGTTTGGTTTTTGATTACATTTCATATTTAAATGTAATTTTTTAGATACCAAATGAATTCGTTATTTATTTATAATAAAAATATATTAAATTTTATAATAAATATTAAATTTATTTAAAACTATTAGACATTATTTACCACTTAATTATATTTAATATAGACATTTGTATATCATTTACAATAAAAGTGATCAATTTATAACTTGAAACGAAATGACCTGGGTATAAATATGGGAATATGTTTAGCCAAGTGTAAAATTCTAAATAAAGAACCCACCCTGGTGCAAAGTGGCATATTGACTGCACATTGATCTGTGACATGGATCACCTGGTGATGGACAGGTAGTGTAGAGGTAGTGGTCAGTGAATGGGATGTATTGGTGGTGATAGCGATCTCTGGCGTGTATTTGTATGGATTGTATGGTTTGAATGGAGAGCCCGTGTATTGAGGGCTGAGTCGACGCAATGAGCGCTGCATTCATACAACACATCAAAGTTGACGTCATTTGACGATTGGTTTGGTTTTTGATTACATTTCATATCAATATTCAATACAATCACTCATTAAAGCACTCACTCGTGTCCGCACAGTATTGTCACCCAAACTGATCCCCAAAACACAGACACACCAGTGATTCCAGTATTGATTTTATTAGTGCTTTTGTGTCACCAAAAGTGTCGACAAATCCATTGAAACCACTATTTCTTCGCCAATCATCTCATCATAAATGCTATGATTTGTGAAATCAATACATATTTATGGACAACAAACGGTTGTCACCATTGGATCAGCTGTGATGTCCATGTGATCAGTGATGGGCGCATGTTATTCAGGTCAGGCCTCTAAGTCTTGTCCGACAGACACACAAACGCCGATCGACCCGAAGACCAGACCTATTGAGTGCCACAACAGCGCCGAAGACATCGACAATATTGTGGACCATTGCAGACAATTGACGATAACTGCGGGTAATCTGGCATTTGCTCAACACATCGACCACCGAAAGGGCGACCGCTTGTCATCGATGTCTTCGTCTCAACCGAATCGCAACCAAAAGATTCCGATCGCGTCGTCCAAACTCGTGGCCAACCATCGAGTCGTCCCAAAGCCTGCCGACGACTACGCGTTCAACAAATACAAGACCCGCCGCTACGACGGCTCCGCCACCGGCGACAACAAAGTGATGATTTTTGACAACTCGAGCACCACTTCCATCAGTTCCGACTGTAGCGTCAATTTGTCGAAGTCATCGAAGTCGACCTCCTCTTCGGCCTCCAATGTGGCCCGACTTCAGACGTCGATTCCACGGCCGGCCAACTCTCGGACACCGACGCCTCCCATACCGGCTAAGTATACCACGAATCAGCGGAAAGCCATTCAAACTCAACCTAAATATAGCGAAAGAAATGTCAAATCAGGTCAAAATCAAAACAATACAATTAATGATCGCCTGAATGGCAATGAAGTGGTGAGAAGTGATATTAAGGTGATGAAGACTAAGAGCACCGCTTCCAGTGATTTGAACGCAACTAAAACTCATAATAACAATAACGGTGTGATCGCCGGCGGACCCACCGGTGGCCAGTCTTATGGCACAAGTATTAGGTATACGACACAAGTGTCTGGTCTTCCGCGACCGCAAACGGCACACATTGTCTCCACTTCTAGTCAGAGCGCAGACAACCATAAGATAAAAACTGTGAATTATATGGAGAATCGTCTCAAACACGGCAGTGATAGCAAGACATCAAACGCAAGATGCGATCCNGACACAAAAAAGTTTGTCAGAAGTGAAGACATCGGTTGAAAATACACTGAAAGCGGCGAAGAATTTACTAAAATGTGATCCAAAGGCACGAAAGAGTACAACACAAAGAAATGATAATAAGAGAACGGTTCCCATTAATACATCGGTTCCCATTAAGTCGGAAAAGGGTATCAAACGAGAGGCAAATACTACAGCGGTTCCCATTAAGTCGGAAAAGGGTTTCAAACGAGAGTCAAACACATCCAACACTGGAGGCCAACCGCCGAAACGTTTGCGTTCGGATGTGAAGCCAGACATTAGTATCATTAAAATTGAACGAAAGCCGGAAGTGATTGACGACGAGATTGAGATCCTTTCGGTTCGGGACATACCGTTGAGGAAAGCGTTCAAATCAGCGATGCCTTCGTTGAAAGAGAAAACCCAACCGCTGTTCAGAAGCACTCCTTCCACTTCCAGCGAAGGACAGACACACACATCGAGACCTAAGAAGAAACGCGCGACAAAAGAGGCCACAGAACCAGTGGACCAGTTCTCACCCGTTATAGTATTAGATCGATGCGTTGCGCCACAAGTTGACCACTATTTCGATGATATTATTAAAAGTTTGTCTTATATTTGTATTCAATTGAACTCAAATCTTACTTTTATAAGCATTTAATTAAATAATTGCTTTACAGAGAAATTACAGGAATTAGAAGCACTCACTTCTAATGCCAAACAGAGCGCTCGAAAGACTTTTCCCAAACGAGCCAACAATAATGGCAATACAGACGCCACACCTGTTTCTAGTGATCACATGAATGGCAAAAACTATGATAATGTTTCCAATACTAAACCCGAAGAAAAAAAGAGTACCATTCTATTCGAAGAGTTAGAACCGTTGACAGGGAATCCAAATGTGGGTGATTTATTGGCGTTCAAAATGTTAACGCTGTCGAGCGATGGCCACACGATGGAGGCCTCGCCCTTCAATGTCGGATCCGCTCTTCACGTCAATAAAGACAACCGAATGGTCGATATTCTACTTCAGGATACACTCCATCGGCAAAGTATTAAATGTGTTGATATTTATAATGTATTAATTGATGTTTTATTATTACGATGAAAGGGAACGCAAAGACCGATTATAACCGCGAAGAACATCCCTCTCATATCATATCATTGAAGATCAATTGGTCCACAGTTTTAGAGCCCAAACTCATCCAAAGAGCCCAAACAAAAATCTCATAACACGTATATCTCGTTCACACAAAATATGTTTAATTGGTAACAATCGCTCATCAAATGAATACATAATCGCATGAATTGTTAAAACAATTTTTTATTTTTCCATTTTATCAATAATAATAATCATTATTGTTGTTATCGTATGATTCTGTCGTTGATTTTCTATATACAGAGCATATATTTGTAATAAATATCAAATTGAAATAATAAATTAGTTTTGTTTGCGAAAATCAAATTACAACTAATAATAATTAAATTATTTCTCTCTCAATCAAAATGATCGGCAAATCGTAATAACCGGTAATGAAATTCAAATGTAACCCAAAATTGTCAACAAATCACAACATAAACTATGGAAATATTCATAAAAATAAAAGAGATAAAAGTGTGCCAATCATTGCTATAATGAGCACTACTTTTACATTTGTTTTTAATCTTGTTTAAAAACTAAAATTTTTGGTTTTTATAAAATATTAATAATAATATGGTTAATAAATTAATCGTTTAATACAATAAAATAGTAGATAAAAACACAGTGTTTTTAGTAGTGGGGGTTTTGTGGCGAACGAAGCTCTAGAAACTCATATATTTATATATTAAACGAAAGTCACTAAAACACGAAACGAATGAATTGATCACAATTTGCTGTTTTATGATCTGTGCTTTAAATATCACTTTTAATTTTTGTTTAAAATCACTGTCCAATAGCTGGTCCTAAATACCCATTGTTTAAGTGAAACCCTGTGTTTCATGTGTTTGTATCGGAGATATGGGAACAGCAAAAGCTATACGAAATGCAAAAATAATATCTGTTTTAGAATACAATCAACATTAAAGTGATTAAAATTACTCGTTTAGTGAGCATTTGATATCATGTTTGAAAATGTTGACCAAAAATATAGTGTCTATGAGTGAGAGGTGTTATTAATAGTGAATATATTATATGTTAATATCATTGAGAATAGAAATATTAGTTTTATGCAGAGTATAAGAACTTCTTATGAAGAAGAGAAGAGTAAACTTCATTATAAATAAATAAGTTATTTATAAGTATATGAAAAGTGATTATAATATATATATTTTAAGCAAAGGCCGGAACTTTACTGATCCAAAAGCTGTTGTTATGGTTAGCATGAGATAAAGAGAGATATAGAGAGAAAAATGCATATAAATATTTACTTATCACAAAAAACAAGTCAATTGTTGTGCGGGAAAGGCTTAGAGAGTGATAAGAAATGACAATAAAAAATAAATGTATCGCAAAATACCTGACAAGCATTCCGTTAGAGCCGTCGGAAACGGCCCGCGGGTTGATATTTGAGGCGTTGGCGCACCGGTCGGTCTGACAGCTGGCGTTCACTTTCTCGACGCTCACGTTTTGGGGAATGTAAGCGCTGTTGATATTTGAATACTTCGCCTATAAATATCATACGATTTAAACACACATCACATCAACATTTATGACATATAAATCAATGCATATTTTGATATATGATTACAATAAAGATATGCCAATAGAGAGACCATTCTTTACCATTAAATAAAATTAAACTTTAAAGTTATAACTAATTCCATAAGAATAGCAATTGATTAGTCAAATGATAATCTAAACAAATAGTGTTTACCATTTGTTGCTGTAATAACCGAATGGTTCGGTCTTTATCTTCAATGATCTGTTGTTGTAAAACGATTTGTCGTTTTAGATCGAAATTCTCTTTACTTAAGTCATCGGAATCGATGCTCTTTAAGTTGTCGTCTTCAGCAATAGTTAACTGATTATAAAACTTGTTTTGAGTGTAATTGTGTTCAAACGGGTTCAGTGTTTCGGCCTAAAAACAAATCAATATATTTTCAAAATATTTGCATAAAATACTGACAAATTTTACTTACATTTTGAAGCAAACCGTGAAGTCTGAAGAGAAGTGTTTTAATGCCAATTAGGTCTTGACTCGCGGCCCGAAACGACGGCGAGTCTAACCCGACGGAGCCGTCGGCCATCTCGACCAGAGATAACGGTCTGGGCTTTCGGTTACGAAATGTTGTTGAGCTCGGAATCACTGTCGACGCCGACGACGACAGCGAAACACTGGGAGAGGACGGCCCGGAAGGCGACTCCTGTTTCAGAATCAGTCCCTCGAGTTCTGAATTCAATGTTTTCATTAAATCCTTTTTATCGATATTACAGCCGAGTGTGAGCTCCGGCTGATCGCTGATCTCGTCGTCTATAAGAAAGTCTCTGTTGTCTACTTCGCTGTTAGCGCCGACACCACCACTAATACTGTCACGTTTGACGCGAGGCTCACGATATTACAGCCGAGTGTGAGCTCCGGCTGATCGCTGATCTCGTCGTCTATAAGAAAGTCTCTGTTGTCTACTTCGCTGTTAGCGCCGACACCACCACTAATACTGTCACGTTTGACGCGAGGCTCCGGCGCCGGTTCCTCACTCTTCGGTTCACTTCTCACGTCTTTATTACTACTAGTTTTGGGGTCTTTTCGGACGAAATGTGGCGTCAATTCTCTCATTCGTTGAATACTTTTTGGTAAAAATGAATTATCATTAGAGTTACAGTCGAGTCCATCGTTTGTCTCAGAATTGACGCTATTTTTGATATAATTTTGATTCTTCTCTAACGAAGGGTTTCTAATCTCTTTGGCCGAAGAGTCGTCTCTATTGGCTTTCGGCATAAGAGGTGTTCCGAAATCGAGTTTCGACTTCAGGGAACCGTTAGACGCGATTGGTTTGGGTTTTTGGTTAATATGTTGACTGTTGGGAGTTGTATAAGAGTTGTTGGGAGTGAACACCGGTTTGCATTGGTTTGGGGGTTGCGATGAATACTGCAATCGGTTGTAATTGAAATTATTGCCACTATTCGGGGCCGCGTTTGGTCTCTCGTAAGGCTTATTGTTGTTATTCATGCCATAGAAGTATGGCTTGACTTGACGTAAACTGGGATCGCATCTTGCGTTTGATGTCTTGCTATCACTGCCGTGTTTGAGACGATTCTCCATATAATTCACAGTTTTTATCTTATGGTTGTCTGCGCTCTGACTAGAAGTGGAGACAATGTGTGCCGTTTGCGGTCGCGGAAGACCAGACACTTGTGTCGTATACCTAATACTTGTGCCATAAGACTGGCCACCGGTGGGTCCGCCGGCGATCACACCGTTATTGTTATTATGAGTTTTAGTTGCGTTCAAATCACTGGAAGCG